CAAATAAACTAAGGTAAAATCCAAATTGATCACAAAATCAAAGATGGGGGAAGGAAAAAAGAAGAGAGAGAGAGAAAAAAAAAGAAAATGGGAGATAGGCTAGGTAATGGCTGTAGGGAAGGCCTGCCTGTATAAGCCATGTCTTCAAGTTAGTCTTGAAGGCCCTCAGCGAGGGAGCCAGGTGGATCTCAACAGGTAAGTTGTTCCAGAGGCAAGGGGCAACTGCTGAGGAGGCCTGATTTCTAGTTTTTCCCCACCAGACCTCTCTTGGTGTTTGGCCCCTCAGTGGCCCGGCCTGACTGGAGCAGGTGATACGGGTAGAACTGGGTTGAAGAAGGCGCTCTGCCAGGTATCAAGGGCCTAAACCGTTAAAGGCTTTGTATGTAATAGTTAGCACCTTGAAATAGATGCGGAAGTGGATAGGTAGCCAGTGTAAGGTGGCCAAGGTGGGGGAAATATGGTGAAATCTCTTCACCCCTGTTAATAGCCTGGTCACCGTGTTCTGGACCATCTGGAGCTTCTGCATCGGTCTCAAAGGAAGCCCCACGCAGAGAGTATTACAGTAGTCTATCCTTGAGACTATGAGGACATGGATCAGCATGGTGAGTGCCCCTGCATCTAGATAGGGACACAGCTGGGCAATCCGCCAAGGATGTAAGTGGGCAGATCCAACCACGGACGCTACCTGGATCTCCATGGTAAGCGCCTTGTTAAGATGGACTCCCAGACGGCAAACTGAATTCTTTGTGGTGAAAGTCACCCCCCCAAAGGAGAGGCAGTTCCCCAAACCACTGACATCGGGGTCACCCACCCGTCTTGTCCAGATTCAACCTTAGTCCCTTCGACTGCATCCATTGCAGAACAGCCTCCAGGCAGCACCCAAGGGACGGAACGGCATCTGCTGCAGATGGAAAAAGAAGAGATGTAGAGCTGGGTGTCATCAGCATATTGAAGTCCTTGGCAGAAGCATGAGATATAAGTACAACAGATAAATATGTGATTATAAATATTAGAGTGTTCCCCATGCATGGTCTCTACACACACACTCTCTCTCTCTCTCTTTGGGCTAAGGATGCTGGGCTTTCTAGACATTGATAGCTGCATCTTATGGGTGTCTCAGTGCAGATTTCATGATATGTTTTGCAAGAAAGAGGACTTTAAATTCACCATAAATGGAGGAATGGTTGTTTATGATACCCAGCATCAAGCAGAGCTCCCATCTGCAGAACCTGCCCAACATGTGATGTGTCCTCCTTCAAGAAACCCTGCCCAAAATGTGTGCCGCTTTGTCTTGCTTCATAAAAATGCGGACACATGTAGCTGCCTTATAGAATGTTAGACCATTGCCCCCCCCCCAAGGGTGTACTGCCTGGTAGAATCTTTCTCAGATTTTCAGGCTGCAGACTTTTATTTAGGAGATAATGCAGACTGAACTAAAGATTTTGTGGAGGCAAAATACATGTTACTTTACTGAGCCTGTAAGATAATTTGCCTTCCAAGGACCTCCTGAGCTTCTCAGGCAATTTGCCATAATCCATTTTGTGTGGTCTGCACTTAGGGAATGTGTGCACTCAAAACTCAACTCAAATATAATTTAAAAGACTGCAAGGTCCTTCTTAAGACATATTGTGAAAGTCCACTTCACCAAGCAAAAGCTTCTTTTCATAATGACCATTACCTTGGCCCTTTTGTGTTAATATTTGGTTAGGGCTGCTGTCAGCCTCTTCCAGTATGGCCAATAGTTATGGGAGTTGTAGTCCAAAACTCCTGGAGGGCTAAAATTTTCTCACCATTGTTCTAAACTTCAATAAAGCAGTTGGTGGTGAATGAAGAAGAAATAGTGGAAGAAAATGTTCCTCTAGGAAAGCAGATTTAAAAAAAACAGGAAAGAAAAATTTTGTGGCACTTTAAAGACTAACTGCTATATTTTAATTTATGGATTAAGCGTTTATGGATTAAGTCCACTTCTTCAGGCTTAAGAGTGAGGCTACCTGACTGTAATATATATACATGGCCCCATGGCCATGTGGGAAAACAGATTATGGACAAAGTGATAATGGATTGTTAGTAACAAGATAGGCTATCAGGCTGGGAATAATCTCAGTTATTAGTCTAAAAGATAACATTAGCATAGTTGACGCAAGTGGCAAACGGTGAATCAATGTAGCATTTCACATTTGGTAATTACTTAAAAAGTCTTCACTGATATTCAGCCCTTTCAAGTGGGTCTTCACCATACTTTATCTCAGCTGTTTCTCTTTTTAAGTATAATTTTCTAGTGTTTTTCCCCAAAGTAGTAGTTTAAAGGAAGAACACTTATCTGAGATTGTTGCATATGTTTAAACAAGAAATGTAAAAGCCAAAAACAAATTGTTAATTTTTAAAATTTCCAAACAAGGGATGTCTTGCCGTTCACCTTGAAATTACCTCATGCTATTGCAACAGCAACAACAGAGGCACAGCTTGAAGAAGTGGCTCAGATGGGATTAAGTAAGTACACCTCTTGCTTTAGTTTAATTCATTCTAGCTTCCTCCAGTGATCAGCAGTAAAAATGATAAGCATGTTGAGTGTCAACACTGTTGCATTAATCAGCATAAAACTGGTGCTGTACTGTATTAGCTTCAGAGGAAGGGATTGCCTTGGAAAGGCATAGACAGTGCTGCTGAGCTGGTATGCCTATCCTAGAATGCTGCCATAGTTAATATCCCTGGAAAGGTAAGTAAGTCAGGAGTAGTGGTATTAGCAATTCAGCTTCCAGAGATCTACCAGCATTCTCATTTCACTCATTCCATTTTCACCATACTTTTTTTGTCTTAAATTGGCTGGAAGGTTGGTCACAATCTTTAAAGGTCCCCAATACCCATCCTGTATCCTAGGAGGTACAGAAGACTGCCCCACATTCCTATTGCTAACTTGTGTGCAATGCTCCAAGTCAGTCCACAGCCAATGGGAGAGTAATGCATTTATTTTTCATTGCCTGATCTGCAGAACTAGCTGGGATTATCACATTTGATTCACTCATCTCGCTAAACACCTCAGTGAAGTAGGGTGATAACAGGAACTAGATGGAGTTCACCCAGTGAGCTTCACAACTTAGCACAGATTCCATTTTGGGTCTGTGCAGTTCAGGTTCAACATTTTGTCTGTTTTACCATTCTAGCTATTGCAAATTAGTAAATGTACCAATGTAACCAATTTATGAAAATGTATTTTTAACTAGGGAAAATTTTGGCAAATGTGTTGATTTTATATTTTTATTTATGTCCACACTTGTTTGCAAAGCTCAAAGTGGTCAGCATGCAGGGGAGCCAAAATGGTAGAGACGATTATTTTCTTTCATCTTGCCTTTGATCAATTCCACATTTATTCTGTTTCACCCGTGCTGTGGTATTTACCACAAGCTGCATCCACAAAAGTGATGGGCACTCAAAGCAACAGGTTGTATTCTGAGTTCTTTACCAAGAGACATCATCTAGAGTCATTTGGGCAAATAAACTTTTGGGCTGAGTTCCAGTGATCTGCTTCCTTTGCTGCTGTGTTCCTCAAGAGGAAGAATGTTAACCTGAACAATACTTATACTGTAAATGGTGATCAGTTATCCATTTTCCTTCTTTGATAACTTTATTATGGTCCTATGACAGTTCAATACACATCAGCCAACTTGCACACAATACAAAGAACACAGAAAGTTTTTTTAAAAGCAATGACAAGTTACCAAGCATCTTCCAATAAATAGTCCCTTATTATTATTATTCTAAGGGACGTGGTGGCGCTGCGGGCTAAACCGCAGAAGCCTGTGCTGCAGGGTCAGAAGACCAAGCAGTCGTAAGATCGAATCCACGCGACGGAGTGAGCTCCCGTCACCTGGCCCAGCTCCTGCCAACCTAGCGGTTCGAAAGCATGCAAATGGAAGTAGATAAATAGGGACCACTTCGGTGGGAAGGTAACAGCGTTCCGTGTCTAAGTCGCACTGGCCATGTGACCACGGAAAGATTGTCTTCAGACAAACGCTGGCTCTATGGCTTGGAAACGGGGATGAGCACCACTCCCTGGAGTCGAACACGACTGGACAAAAAATTGTCAAGGGGAATCTTTACCTTTTCTTTACCTATTATTATTATTACAGGAAGGAACTATTTTCATGTTAATAAGTTTAGTTAGCAAAGTGTGTCTACTAGCCAAAGAGGCAACTTATAGAAACTAAATAAAAGTGGAATTCAGTCAGAGTTTAAAACAAGTATCACATAGAGAATGAGAATTCTTAGCTGTCCAGTACTCAAATAAATGAGTGATTACCTCATTTGAGGACGGGTTTGAGTTGTTCTTTTTTGCTAACTGATGGATGAAGGAAGGGGTTTGTCCCCTTTGAGTCTTTGTTGAAGCAGCTGTGGCATTCACGCAGCCTTTCTTATTAATGGATTTAATTGCAAGTATGATGACAATTTATACATGTAGCACTCCTCTCTCCTTGTTATGTCCAGGGTTACATATATATTCAGTTTTAATAGCTAAAATAAGGTTATGCTCAGTGATGATTGACAGGGAAATTAATATTATTCATTGGATTAGGTAAGAGATTATTCAGACCTGCTCTCAAGATACTTTTTTTTCTTTTGCTCTAAAATGAAGATGAAGTTCTTGCTGTCCATCTTCCTTCCACCAAAAACAGTCCAGCTTTAACTATCCAGACTAGGTGGAACAGACCCTTAAATAGGAGTCACTGTGAATTCCTGTGCATGGCTAGTGTGCAGTCTAAATGATCTGCATGATATATAGGTGCCTATAAATGCTATAGGGTGCTAGACATGCAACTGAACAAGTATGTGTAAAGCATACTGTGTGTATGATGCATGGTGTGTGCTTTGCTATTATATTGAAATTGTATATGCAAGAGGAGTGACATGAGGGAGGTATAAACAAATGCATGGTATGAACACAGTGACTGGAAAGAAATTATTAATTCATATCTAGCATTTGAACTTGGTGACACATGAATAAATAGTTTAGGAGTAGTCAGCCCAGAACTAACCAAAGATAGCACACAATATCTAATATATGGAATTTACTGCCACAATGTATGCTGGTGGCTCAAATGATTTTAAAAGGGAACTAAATGGTTTCATGGAAAATGGGGGTTTCAGTGACTAAATAGAATCTTCCTGTTCAGTCCCTGTTCTTTTACAGACCATTTGTGGGGAAGCTCCCCTAGGCAGCAAACAGACTTACTGGTTTCATGGGTGTTCACAAGTCCACTGTAGGAAATAAAGATGATGGGCTAAATGGAATTCCAGGCTGGTCCTGCAGAATTAATCTCATCCTCCAAGCCCTCTGAAAACTGAAACATTTCTGAATGCCAGAGGCAGAAAAAAGTGCATTTAAAAAACACACATTTGAAATATGCCTTTTATGAAGTCCACTTCATTGTTGTTGCAGCTTATTATTGCCTGATGGCAGCATACATCCAGGTTCTCTCAGAATTTTATGATTCTGCTCTTTCAAGCTGGGAGCTGAACCTGGGACTTTTTTCATGTGCTCTGTTGCTAAGTTATTCCCTCCTC